CTCATACTTCGCAATGTTGTCCATAGCTTGTCATGATCCACACAATCGAAAGCCTTTGCGTAGTCAATAAAGCACAGGTAAACATCTTTCTGATACTTGCATGGTTTAAAGTCAGGAAAGCTGTGCATCGGGTTTGGAGCCTTTCACCACACTTACTCAATCTGTATGCTGAGCAATAATCTGAGAGGCTGGACTATATGAAGATGGCATCAAGATTGTAGGAAACTCATTAACGACCATGATTAGCAGATGATACAATCTTGCTTGCTGGAAGCATACTTGAAGCAACTATTGATGAAGATGAGAGAATACAGCCTTCAGTATAGATGAAATCCTCATAACTGGGCCAATAAAATAAACATCATGATAAATGGAGAAAAGATTGAAGTCATTAGGATTTCATTTTACTTGGATCTACAATCAATGTTCATGGAAGCAGCAGTCAAGAAATCACATGACACATTGCACTGAGGACTAGTCTGCCTCACCCAACCATGGTATTTTCAGTCGTCTCATATGCATATGAAAAACGAAACAAGCAATAAGGAAGAATGAATTGATGCCTTTGAATTATGGTGTTGGAGTAAACTACTGGTTGTATCATGGACTGCCAGAAGAACAAACAAATCTGTCTTGGAATAAGTGCAGCCAGAATGCTCCTTAGAAGCCACTATGGAGAGTAATTTTGTGTCAAGAGTCCTGTTTTCTGTGCTCCAGAAATCTGTTATGTGGACACTATTATGGTTTCATGTTGGTGTCCCTCATCTGGATTTTTTTTATCTTTAAGACTTAATATAACAAAAAGGGTTTCTATAAACTGCATTTGAGTTTGGGGTCTTTTCTCTCTGAACAGGTATAATTCATGCTGAAGGCTGTGTTCAAGTCCTCTCTGAATTCAGAAAGCAAGCTTATATGATCAGAACACAGGTTGTCCCCATTCTGATGCCATGTTCTTCTACAGTCCAGCTTTTCAGATTATTTGCTCAGCATACAGATTAAGTACGGTGAAAGGATACAACTTCAGATGCACCGCTTTCCTGATTTTAAACCATGCAGTGTCCCCCTTGTTCTATTTGAATGAATGACCCCTTCTTGGTCTCTGTACAGGTTCCACACGAGCACAATGAAGTGTTCAGGAATTGCCATTCTTTGCAATGTTATCCAGAGTTTGTTATGATCCACACAGTCAATGCCTTTACGTAATCAATTAAGCACAAATAAACATCTTTCAGGTAATCTCTGCTTTCAGCCAATATCCACCTGATGTCAGCAATGATGTCCCTTGTCCCATATCCTCTTCCAAATCCAGCTTTCTGGTAGCTTCCTGTGGATGCACGGCTGTAACTGTTTTTGATTTCTCTTGAGCAAAATTTTACTTGCATGTGATGTTAATAACCTTGTTTGATAATTTCCACATTCTTTAGGGTTGTTTTTCTTTGGAATGGGCACAAATATGAATCTCTTCCAGTTGGTTCCAAATTTCTTGGCACAGATAAATAAGCAGACCCAGTGGGGCATCAGTTTGTTGAAACCTTTCAATAGGTATTCTTTCAATTTCTGGAGGCTTGTTTTTCGCCAATGCCTTCAGTGCAGTTTGGACTTCTTCCTTCAAAACTATTGGATCTTGATCTTGAGATGGTTGAACATGGATTCATTCTTTTTGGTAAAATGACTGTGTTTTCCTTTGATGCTACTGCCCTTATCATTCAGTATTTTGTCTATTGCATCTTTGATATACTTCTAAAAAACCAGCCACTGGAAGCTCTGTGGAGCACAGCTCTCCTCTCCTCTACCTGGGCTCTTCCCATATGTAGCCATCACTCATCTGTCGGTGAAGGCTTGGGTGATGCTCAAAAGGTTTCAGAGGAGCTTCTAGACTAAAATGGACAAGGTGTTCTGGTGGCATAGTGGTTACAGGTTGGCCTGCTAACCTTGAGGTCAGAAGTTAGAAACTCCCAGCCGTTCCTTGGGAGAAAGATGAGGTTTCTGCTCCCTTAAAGATTTACGGTCTCAGAAACCCTATTCAGAGTCACTATGAGTCAGAATCGAGTCCAGGGCACACTGCCACCACCACCAGGGTGAATAGGCTGGTAACCTACTACCAAATTTTAACTGATGAAAACCTAGGACACAAATAATCCTGCTGTGCATGGGATGAATTGGGGGCTGGCTTGACAGCAGCCTACAACACTTATTGCACGTGTAACAACTGTGAACCCCACAAGGGCAGGGACCATGCATCATGGCCACCTTTGAACCCTGGCACATAGTAGATGCTCAGCGAAGCCTGGTAAATAAAGACCTATCCCACACAGAATCGAAAACTTTGGCTTTATAACAACTTTGGAAACAAACAAAAGACCAAACACATTGCCAATGAGTTGATTATGACTCATAAGACAGAGTAGAACTGCCCCCCATGTTTTCCAAAACATAGCGGCTGCAACAATGAGCTGAAATTTTGTTTGGCTGTACATGTTCAGCTGTCGCTGAGAGTTGGAACCAATTCCACAGTACCTAACAATAACAGCAATCTTTATGCCCAAGGACAGAAGTCAGGATAAAGAAAGGAAGAGGAATGGAAACAGGAAGCAGGGAGAACGTGGAATGAGGGATGTTATATTGAAGCGGCTGCAGTCAACGAGATGAAGCAAAATGTCTATAAATTGTTAAATGGAAATTTTGTGGTCGGTTCTGTACATCTTCATCTAATTCACAATAAAAAGTTAAGAAACACAGCAATCTTTATGGGAGCAGACTGCCACATCTTTCTCCCATGGGTTCGAACTACTGACCTTTCAGTTAGCAGCTGCAGCACTAGGGCTTTTCCACAAAGACCTTAACAACTGTTTAACCCTCATCTGGGGATGGAGAAAGTAAACTCTTTTGCCTCTTGGCAACCCCCAACCTCTATAGAACCACCCCTCAATTCTTCCAGATGAGACGACCAGGTGAGAGGCTGTGGGGTTTCCTGTGCTCCTGACAACAGAAAACAGCCAGCAGGTGAGGGAGGGCCGCCTCCCTTCATCCCCAACCCAGGGACACAGTCAGAGAGACTCCAGCTTAATTCCATTTATTCCAGAAGGCAGAAGGTGCAGTGGTGTCCAGATACAGCTAGGTACAGGCCACTCTGGTTCCCATAGCTTAGAACAGTCTCCTGAGTCCCAGCCTGGTCCAGGGGCAGACGGGTGGGGGGTGGGGGTAAGAAGGCAAGGTCTCATGTCCACCCATATGGAACATTATTCCACAGAGGAAAAATATTAACGTCGTCGGCCCAGTCCAGTGAAGAGGTAATAAGTGTTTATTAAAAACTTTTTCACCTAGACGCAGCTAAAGTTTATAATTTAAAACCCAGCCCGCTACAAAAAGGAGGGGAAATAAAAACTGAGCAACAATGACAAGACTGAGTCGGGGCGGGGCCCGGCAGGGTAGCTTGGGGTCTCCCATCTCCCTGTCTCTCAAGACCACCAGCAGCAGGGTGGGAGCCGGGGGGTCTCCGGCACAGCCCAGTCCTCGGTCTGTCCAGGTGGGGACGGTGCCCAGGGTGACTATCAGTAGTGTGTGTTCACGGAGCACTGTGGATGCCATCAGCTCACTCGGCTGCGGAAGACGGAGGAACACAGCTCAGCACACTCCCCCGAAGGATGTGGTCTCAGCTGCCCACCCTGAGTCCACACACTCCGACCCCTCCCCAGGAAGCACACTCTACCCTGCCTTTCCAAAAGCAGCTCCGGAGCACCTACCTGATCCATTGCTGAGGCTGTACCCCATTGCCAGTCTTCGAGACTGCCAATCCCCATGGCTCCTGCATGGACAAAGGCAGGGCACTCATTGGCCGAGTGGACTCGAGCAGCCGGCTCAGGGCCCGCCCTCCCTCTCAGGCTCTCCTGGAGCCCCCGCCCACACACCTGAGCAGGTGACTTACACTCGATCTCCCTCCAGTGTGCTCTGGATCTCCTTCAGCACTCCTGCAAGCCGGGTGAGGGGTGGGGGTGGGGAAGGAGACGACAGGGGGCTGTGAGCTGGGGTCTACTCTCTCAGTGAAATGGCCCCTTAGTCCCACCCCGACCATCAGAGCCTCCCCTCGCCCCGCCCACTCACTCTCGTCATTGAGCAGCGCATGCTCCATCACAGGGCCTGGCGTCCTCTCTGCAAAGCAGTCAGCTCAGCAAGACTCACCGTGGGTCTCCCCATTCCTTGACTCCCTCCCACCAGAAGCCAGAACCAGGGCTTCGAGAATGCGCTTCCACGCCAGCTTGCACACCACCTGCTCCCTGGGGCAACCCCCTTCTGCCCCTCTCCAAGCCGGGGCTGGGTGTGGCTCACGCGCAGCCCAGAGATTCTTCTTACCCTCTGCGTCACTCTGGTTCCCCGAGTTCCTATGGTGGGGAGAGACATTGAGGACCCGGCCACGTTTAAGCCCTGGTTTCAGGGGTCTCCCCTGCCAGGAAGGGCGGCCTGCAGGGGCGGGGTCAGGAGTGGAGAGGTAGGCGGGGCTCATGGGCATCACTTCCTAGGGGTGGGGCTCTAGCCAGTCACTAGCAGGTGCTGAGGGGAGGGAGGGGCTGTGTTAAAGGTCACCCTCTTTCACCCACCTGGCTCTGTGCACGATCTTCTCAGGGCCTGCCCCATTGCGGGGGCGGCTCTGGTTTTTGGTTTCTGACGATTCCACTAGACACCGAGGCTCAATCAGCCACTTGGTGGAGAGAGAGAAGCGCTCAAACTCCGAGGGGGAGATCAGGTAGAAACCTGGGGAGGGAGAGACACCTGGTAGGTGAGACTGGCCTGGGTCCCCAGGGTCCCCATTAAGGGGCTTCCCTGCTGCGGGTATTAGATCTTGCGGCTCCCAGCAGTTCTTGGCCTGAGGCCTATCAGGGCCTGGTCTACAGCACCCTGGCCTGAGGTTGTCTCCTCCACACCCACCCAAGCCAAGCTCTGCCTGCGCACCTTGGCCGTATTTAGTGAAGACACAAGAGGCGATGCCGCTGACGTCCTCCCGGCGGATACAGCTGAAGCGCACCTGAGGCTTGAGCAGGGGAAGTGAGACCACCTGGACGTCCCCCAGGTTGGTCAGGATAGTCAAGTGATGTTCCCCATAGTCCTCAGTTCGACAGCTGCCGAAGTGGGCCACACTGACCCGCCGCACCCGAGAGCCCTCCAAGGCGGTCAGCTTCAGCTTCAGCTTGGCACTGACCTTGGGTAGTGTAAACACCTGGGGCACAGAGTGGCGGGTCACATCCAGATGGCACACTTAGCTCAGACTGCAGACACAAGGTCACTGCCACTTGGACCCGCAGTACACCAAGGCCATTTATTTCCTTGTCTGGGTTTGCTGTCCGTCCCCAAACCAGTCCTGCTTCAGTGTCCCCACCTCTGCACCTGGGTCTAGGGACTCTACAGGAGACGCCTCTTTCTTGTCTGTGTCTCCATCCATAGCCCTTGTCATCTGTACCCAGGATGTCCCAGGGATCCCCAGAACCCCGTCTTCCCTGCACGGCACCTTGAACTGCTCCTCAGATATGACCAGCAGCTGGTGGCTTCCCTGCATGTCTGGGCTCTTGGATAGGTCATGGGCCACCTCCAGGGGCTCTGGGAGGGGCACGCTGTGTCCATCCAGCACCAGGATGCCCACCACTGGTGCTCGGTGCATCAGCTGGATCTCCTTGGCTACGGGAAGGAACAGGTTGTGGGTTGGTGGGCAAGCTGTGTGGCCAGGGACATCACAAGCTGCCCTGCCCGCTGCCGAACGCTCACCCTGCTCTGCCCGCACGGGCTCGTCCATCCTCCGCTCTGCAGGGGGCACGCGCAAGGAGAAGGCATAGACGGTCCCACCGTTGGTACCGGCCCACAGTGAGGGGCAGTGGCGGGAGCCTGCCAAGGAGCAAAGGCTTTGGGTATCTGAGGCCGTCTGGCTGCTCCCAGGTCAGAGCTTTGAGCGCCAGCTCCTCACTGTGTGGAGCACAGATGCTGAGGCACTGTCTAGCCCAGGGCTGCACCATGGGACCTGCAGAGAAGGCTCCCACACCCAGGGCAGCTCCTAGAGGAGGAGCACCCAGATGAGCCGACACTTGAGGCCAGAGAGGTCCAGATATGTGCCACAGGCCTCACTTCTAGGCCAAGGAAAGTGGGGGGTGGGGTGGGGGGGGTGGAACAACGGACTCTGGTCTCCTGCTCTCAGGGGAGACCCCACCCAGGGTCCCATTACCGGGCAGATGACAAGCAGCAGCCTCTAACACACCCTCATGCTGGGGGATGCCCACCTGGGCCCCTCTACGCTAGCTGGCCACTCACTGTCCCTCAGGTAGGTGTCAGCAAAGTAGAGAGTGCGGACGAAGCCGGTGAAGGAGTCCTCGGCCGAGCGGGCCTCGATCTTGCGTTGCACAGGTGCCAGCTCCATGTTCTGCAGGCCGGCACGTTCCACCTTGGTGCTGGCCTCCGGCCTCTATGGTGGACGGGCCAGGCCTGAGTAGGGCTCTGTTGGCTTAGGCTACATACAACCAGGGGAAGCCAACACCCACCCAACCTGGCTCCCAGGAGACGGATGTCTTCTGTCCTTCCCACAGATTATAGGGAAAAGGGGGCAGCCGACAGTCCTGATAATTTATCTCTGAGGTAAGTGGGCAGTGTTGGGGCTTACATCAACAGTATGACAGTGATTCCCATTTTGCATGTGGGGAAGTTGAGGCAGAGAATCAAGGAGACATATCTGAGGTCATGGTTAGCTGGTGGTAGAGCAGGATGTGACTGTCTGCATCAGGACCCAGGGGTGGAGACAGGGTCCCGGGAACCCACTGCTGGCAGCTGAGCTCACATCTCACCTCTCCTGGAGCTGGTCGCCGCTTCCGGCTGGACACCCTACTCCGGCGCATCCGGCGGAAGGACTGGCGTAGGGACTTCTTAAGGGACTTGACACGGGAAAGTGGACCCTCCAAGGCCAGCTGGTCACTGGGATGTAGCGTGCACCTGGGGTGGACATCAGGCTGGGTCAGCTTCCAGGCTCAGGAAGCCTCACCTGGCCCCAGCCGGGCCCCGCCCCTTGGGAGGGCCGCTCACTTGACAAAGACCTGCCGCCTCTGCTGGTGGTCGAAGAGGCCAAAGCCATGGCTGGTACCGAAGGCTACGAGCCGCCACTCGGAGTGCAGGGCCAGGGAGGTTACCACGGCTGGGGGCTGGCATTGCACCAGCACGAAAGGCTGGAAGCCGGGCTCGAAGCCCACGGGCCCTGGGCGGGCACACAAGCGCTCATGCCCCTTCCAGCGGTAACCTTCCTGGTCCTGCAGGAGGTCTGCTTCTACCTGTTCCACCATGTGCTCTGACGCCTCGTCATTCAGCTCCAGGACCAACACCTGGTGGGGTGGGCAGCGTGACCTTAGGGACCCCAGCTACCGGGATAGGAGAGGGCTAGGCATCCTGTCTAGGCTTAACCTCCAAACCGTTCCCCACCCCCCCCTTATTTCTGATTCCTGGGGGAAATCCAGCACCCTGACACCCAAACCAAACTGTAGTCATGGAAATAACGAGCTGACTCTAACCCGTGATGACCCCATGTGTGTCAGAGTAGAACTATGCTTGGAGGGTTTTCAGGCTGAGCTCTCAGATTACTAGAACCTATCTTCTGAGGCACCTCAAACCTACAACCTTCTGGTTACCGTCCACCCCGAGGATGCCCTGTAATAGTACCAAACAAACTTTGTTGAGTGGGAAGAGCCCAGAGTGGCAGGCAAGGGGTGCTGTCTCTGGTGACACTTGAGGGTGGACTCTCAGGGGGCTGGTTCCTGTCCCTGCTCGGAGTCCTCACTCATGTAAAGAAAGCTCACAGGTCTGGATACTGCCCAAGTCACGGAGTCCCTCCTCCAGCCCCTCCTGCATTCAGGGCCCAGCCCAATACCTGGCCCGCTGTGCCCGCCACGGCCAGGTAGCCACTGTATTTGCAGAGGAAAATCTTCTGGATGCCCAGCCGGGGGTCGTCGCTGTAGGGGTCAAAAGAGCCCACCTGACCAGGGGAGAGGAGCCATGAGCAGCACTGGCCTGTGTCCACCATAGCCAGCCCCCAGGGGCATAGGCTCACCTTGCGCAACGGGGGCCACTCATCCTCAGCCTGGGCATGGGGGTTCTCGCTGGGATCCGTGTCGGTGAGGAACACCTGTACAGTGCTGAGTTTGTAGAGCAGCCGCAAGCAGACGCCTGAGGCATCCCAGAACCGCACCGTGCCATCCTCGTGCCTGTGGGCAGAACCCTGGACGCCATGAGAGGGACGCAGGGTCCAGGGGCCCTGCCCACAGACCGTGGACACAGGTCCTACCCCACATACCCCGCTAGGAGGCGAGTTGTGCCATCAACGTCACCTACCCTGTGAGTAGCAGGTCCCTCTGGGGTGGGGCTGGAGCGAGACTGGTGCCCCCGTCAATGGGCCATTTCTGGGGAGGAGAGGGACAGGTCTATGGAGAGCTGGGGGCAGGGGGCGGGGGGCAGGGCTGGACCTACCATGGTGGAAAAGTGTGAGCTCTGCCGGCTACCGGCAGCGAGGACACGCTCCCATAGCTTCAGGGGGATGTTGGAGATGTGGTGGGAACAGGTAATAGCGGAGCAGTGCAGGGAGGCCAGGTAAGGCGGCTGCAGCGCTGGCCACCCGGCTGTCTTCAGGTCAATTACCACAAGCTCCTCCTCGGCCAGCACCACCAGGGCGTAGGGGTCATCAAAGGCTGGGGACAAACCAAGGGTCAGGAGGTACAGGAGCCAGTAGGAAGCAGGGTGCCCCAGCCTGGTTCTGGAACCAGGGAATGTGCATTTAAAAACAAGCCCCGGGGAGATACCCATGCTCAGCTGTTTTAGGAGCTGTAGTCTCAGGGGTCTAGAGTGGGCCTCAAACCCCAGGCAGGAGCCTGGTCAGAGCCCAGTCCTCTCACCTCCAGAACAGGTGTTGGGGAGCAGCCCTGCCTCATAACTAGCTCAAGGCAGTTAGGCAGGCCACACTGACTGGAACCGGAAGGGGCCTGGGCATCTGCGGGTCCAGATGCCTGCCCTCCCCCTCCCTAAGTGTGTTCAGGCGCACCTACTTACTCTCCCCGACACCACAAGCCCCACAGGGCTTTAGGAGCATCCAGTTGGTGTTCAATAAGTGCATGCTGAACCGCTGAACACAAGCAGCTGGACTGGATGTCCACCCGACAGGAGCCTACGGTCAGGGTGGAGGCCCTGCCCCTAAGGCTGCTCACAGGGTAGGGCTGGATACCCACAGGCATCTTCTCCTACCCTTGGTCTCTTTTCAAAAGGTCTCTAGGAAGAGAGGAGCAAAGCACCGCCCCCCACCTAACTTCCTAAACCCCTCCTCCCTGGACCAGGCAGATCCCAGCAGGCTCCAGGATGTGGGCCCCCTCCCAGCCCTGACTGGTTTGGGTAAAGGCAGACTGGGCCTCTGCTCTCAGCCACCCATGGGTCAAGTATGTGAATGGGGAAGAGGCTGAGAAAGTAGAAAAAGCAGGTTGGGGCATCTCTCTCAGACCTGCCTCCCCTCACCAGGGCCTCAGGACACGGGAGGACAGAGTCACTGGTAAGAGTCCCCCCCACCCCCTTCCTCCTGCTTCGCCACCTTGTCTGGCTGGTGGGTTTGAACTGCTGACTTTGCAATCAGCAGCCCAACGCCTAACCCATAGCACTATCAGGGCTCCTAGTCTAAACTGGGGGCTGTTCATTCCAATTGTACAGGCCTGCCCAGAGCAGAGTCCCACCAGAGCATCGGGAAGGGAAGAGTTTCCAGAGGGGCAGAGGAGTCAGGAAGGACAATGTCACCAGCTGGCTCTGGATGGGGAGGCCAGCATTGACAGGGAGCACAGACTACCTTCAGGTCCATCAGTGACACTAAGAAGGGGCGCAGCATGGTGAGCTTAGGGTGTCACCATGAGGGAGCAGGATGAGGAACTCCTGCGCAAGACCCTGCTCCTTATTTTTTGGCCCTGCGCCACCAGCTCACCACACCAACTCCTGCATGCACTCACCAGCCGTGGGGTCCGCCTCGGTGAGGACAGTGAAGTCAATGACGCGGGAGGTAAAGTCAAAGGCTATCTGCTGGTTGTTGTGGACCACTGAGATGCAGTGGCGGTCCCCATAGCTGGCCCGCGGCATGCCACCCTGGAAGATGATGAAGGGCAACCTGGGGTGGGGGACAGAATAGTGGAGTGGGCAGGGGTTCCTGATAGCCCCCAAGACTGGGATGCCAGTGTGGGCTTTTCTGGAGACCAGTGGGCAGTGCTCAGGGTCAAGCACTGGGTCCTTCTATGCTGGGGGCAATTTCAGGGCTGGGATTGCTAGAATCCAGGAGAACATGGGGTAGGAACCTGGGATGGGACAGCCCCCTTATCCACTGATACATAGGGGTCCTACTGTGTTATTTGGAAAACAAAAACCCAGCTGATTTTAAAGTGTCTCTTGGAGGGTGGCGGGAAGGAGGAAACTGGAATGAAATCTTTGAGAGGTCTTCTCTCCCTGTCCAGGATCCAAGGCGTCCACGTAGGACCCAAAGCCCTTCATGAGGCTCCATCTCCCCTAAGCAGAGGCTCAAGTGGTCCCCTCAGCCCCTCAGAAGGCTCCGGAAAGGGAAGACGACAGAGGACCAACACCTACCCCTTCTTGGTGGTCAGCCAGAAGACTTTGGTGATAGCTTTGCAAGGAAAGGGACCTAAAAGAAAAGACAGAGCTTGACCTGACCCCCCAGGCTCTGACAGCCTTGGAGAAACCCCCCATACCCAGGTCCTGCTGCTTCAAGAAAGCCTCGCTGGGCATCAGCACACTGCTGTGTGGCTACAGACAAAGCTGTTACCCTCTCTGGGCCCCAGTCTTTGCTTCTATGCTTGGGCCTCACACCTGAATCCAGGAAGGACTGACTGGTCGAACACTGCTCTGCATGCTGAAGGCTACTTCAGGTAGTGGGCAGTACTGACCATAAGGCACATGGCTGGTTAGAGGCTCCAGTCGCTGGGTGGCGCCGGACATGGACCACTGGCAATAGCTGCCATCAGAATGGCAGGTGATAATCAGATGGCCGTCACGCTGCCAGAAGATGTTCTCTAATTGCTTCAGAGGAGGAGAGGAAGAGAATATGGGCATGGAGCAGGAGATGGAGGCGTGTGTGATCTGTGAGCATCTGGAGACTCCCCCTCTGCCCCCGGACCCCCCCTACCTGACTACTAAGGAAATGGCACAGCACACAGCTGCCCTGCAGGTCCCAGATGACAACCAGACCCCGGCTGTAGCCGATCAGGAGCTGGTTAGAGTCCCGGGGGTGCTCTTGCAGGGCCTCCACCATCTCAAACACCCGCCGGTGACGGGCCTCCTCTGGCAACCTGGATGTGTGGGAGAGAGCTGTGAGCCACTGGGCAATGACCGGAGCGAGGGCCGAGTGTGCCGGCTGGGAAGATGGCCGGGACACACTGCCAGGAACAGAGCAGCAAGGAGAAAATCGAGACAGTTAGTTATATGTATGATTCCAAACTCCACAAGACACAGGGTTGTTGTTGTTGTTGTTAAGTGCCACTGAGTCGGTTCCAACTCATAGCGACCCTGTATAAGGTTTCTGAGGAGCGGCTGGTGAGCTTGAACCACCAACCTTGCAGTGCAGTGCACTAACCGGCAGTGCCACACCAGGACTCCACAGGATGTAGATTGTTGTTGTTGTTAAGTACTGTGGAGTCGGTTCCAACTCATAGTGACCCTGCACAGGGTTTCCGAGGCTATAAATCTTTACGGGAGCAGAAAGCCTCATCTTTCTCCTGCGGAACCACTGGTAGTTTCAAACTGCTGACCTTGAGGTTAGCAGCCCGATTCATAACCACTATGCTACCAGAGTTCCTTACAGGATGCAGGTAGAGGTGGGAAAATGAGAAACAAAGGCAAGGGAGTGGTTTCCAGAGACATCCATACGGTGCTTACCTCTGTGGGAGAGGGAGAGAGGGAGGAATGGGGGGTTGTCAAAGGTCGACTTTGGTTGCAGAATGGGCCTCACTGAGAATTTATTAAGCTATCTGTTTATATCCAATGTATTTCTGTAAGTAAGTGATATTTTGTAATAAAAGATTTTTTAAAGTGTGGTGAAAACATGGATAACCAAACACATACCAATTTACCAATAAGAAGGTTTTATACTCACAAGACAAAACAATCTCTGATGTTAATGCAGCCAGTTCCAAGTCATGGGGGCCCTGTATAGGATTTATGGGAGCAGGAATCCTCTCTTTCTCCCTCCCAGGGGCTGGTGGATTCAAATTGCTGAGTGCAATTAACAGCCCAATTAGTAACCCTAATCACCAGGATTCCTTTAATGCGGTGTAGTAAACTCCTGAACGCCTCTTCTAGCCAGGGTCCTGGTGTGGCACTGTTAGGGTAAGCACCGGATTTCCAACAGAAGGTTGATGGATCAAAGCCATTGAAACCCTATATAGGGTGGTTATGAGTTGGAACTGACTCAATGGCACTTAACAACAACAACCAGTAGCCAAAGGATTTGTTAACTTCCATCCAATGACTTGTTCCCGATAGGTCCGGAGTGTATGATTCACTGTCAGTGACTGTTATCAGACGTGCGATGAGGGGCCGGTCAATGGTGGGTTTAAAAGGACTCTTGGTGTGACACTGTAAGATCAGCACTGGACTGTGAACCCCACAAGGTCAGCAGTTCAAAACCCATCAGGTGATCCCTGGAAACCCTACACAGAGTTACTATGAGTAGGAATCGACTCAATGGCATTTAACAACAAACCCAGAAAAGGAGGGAGTAACTGACTGCCATTAAAGAAGAGCCAGGAAGGGAGCGCATCGTTTGGACCCTGAGATCCCTCCTCCTGGAACCTCCTCGACCCAGGGACAGGAAGCTGTGACACTGGAGGAGGGGCAGGGGACAGCCGCAGCGGAACCAACAGACAAGAGCGGCGGGCTTCCCAATCCACGGAACACGGAACACGGAAAGCAGAGTGACTCTGAGCAAGAGGCTTGTTTGCGAATGGAGTGCCTCCAGACATCTAAATGGGAGGAAATGTGCTGACCCAGGGAGCTAGAGGCGAGTGCCTTCAGGCGGAGGCTCCCAGTGGAGGGGCAAGTGCTCTGGGCATTTATATCAGCAGCCGTAACAGAGCTTTGTAATATTGGTCATGGTGTGGTCCTTTTGGGAGAATGTGCCAGACTGCAAAGTTGCTTTGAACCATGAGGTCAGTGGTTCAAGCTCACCAGTTGTTCCTCGGAAACCCTATACAGGGTCGCTATGGGTCAGAACCACTTTTACTCTCTCAATATTGGTCAGGCAGAGAGCAAGAGGTCTGCTGTGGACATGGCTGAGGAGAGGCTGACCCTGTTAACTTCCCTAATGACTCCCTAACCGTAAGATGGCGTCTGTGTGACCACTGCGACAGAGAACCATGCCCAACAGAGAAGTGGACAGTGCTGTGGGAAGGATGCTTTGTTGTCACTGTTTTATTGAAGTTAAATAAAGACCAGGTTTACTGGGCTGACACGTTCAGGTCTGGAAATGAGCCCCCTCAGCTCAGCTTTCAGCTAGATAATGTTGTTGTAAAGTGCCCTCGTAAGGTTTCTGAGGAGGGGCTGGTGAGTTTGACCTTACAGTTTAAACCGACCTTGAGGTCAAATGCTTATCCTAGGCAGCCTACCAGGACTTCACCAAAGGACAGACAGGTTTATGCGGGGGAACAATACTTGTGGTAGCGTAGTGGTTACGAATTGGGCCGCGAACCTTGAGGTCAGCAGTTCGAAACTGCCAGCTGCTCCATGGGAGAAAGATGAGGTGTTCTGCTCCCGTAAAGATTAACAGCCTCGGAAACCCTGTGCAGGGTCGCTATGAGTCGGAACCGACTCCACGGCACATAACAACAACAACAACACATACCTTAGACCCATCTGTAGCATTTGCCCAAAGGATAAGGTCCAGAAAGGTTAGGAAAGAAGGAGGAATGGAAACAGTGTGCTTCAACATTCTCCAGAATATTCTTCACGATTGAAAAAATGTCGGCACATAGCTGAGGACTACTTGAGAATTCAATGGTTTCCAACTTTGTGTCACTAGAAACACCCCTGTCCTGATCAGTCTTGTGTCTGGATCTTTTCTGTCCCCCGCTCCTCCCCCATGGAGACTTTGTCTGAAAACATTCAGACAAGTGTTAACAAAAGCAGCTGAGCTGTCAATGCGACTAAATGGGGAGGGCAGTTAACCTGTCATTTCAGGACCAGAGGGAAGAACATGAGAGGAGTGAGGGATCCTAACTAGAAAAGTAGGACAACAGAGATGGTGGCAGAGGCGAGGGCACAGACGGCAGGAGAGGACTCTAGGCCCAGGGACTGAGAAAGGCAGTGTGCTGCCCTTTGGACATTTAAACAAATATAGATTTTCAGTGTGGTATATGTCCATATAAAAAAAAAAAGGGGGAAACAGATAAATACTGTTGGCTGAGGGTGCATGGAAGGGATGGTAATCATTATAATGATTTGCTGAATGTAAAACTGATGATCTGCCTGTAGGCCTTCACTCACTCAATACATAATAAAAGCTTTAAAAATAAAAAGGGGGATACAGAGAGGTCCCATGTCCCCTGGTCGGGAGAGCCCAGTCCTGAGGAGGGCGGGCCCCCACCAGCTAACCATGGGGTGAGGCCAGGTCCTCCTCACCCCTCCAGGCCGGCCCTGCCCCATAGACCAAACACCCACTAGTGCTACCTGCCACCTTTCTATCGGTCTGGCCTGCCCAGCAGGATGGTCACTGGTGATTCAAGGGACCCAGGCCCAGACAGGAAGCCTCCCTGCCCGGTCAGGCACTGCTTCTCATGCCGCCGGGCTGCTGACAGAATGGACAGCTGTGTGTGTGCCAATGTGCCTGCTCCACAGCCCTGGGGAATCAGTGACCCAGCACACTGCCCCCTGGTCCTGTAGAATTGCCCACTACTACCCACCCACCCTTACAAACTGTGCCAGACTTCACGTCCCTTCCCCTCTCAGTGTCCGGAGCCCATCAGACACGATCTCAGTATCATCAGCTATCTTAGCATAGCTACAGGATTGTGGGTGTCAAGTTGTGAGTACATGGAGCCCCAAACATTGCATGAGGTCTGAAAATCAGACCTTTAAATCTTTAAAATATTGTTGTTAAGTGATGTTGAGTTGAGTCAGTTCCGACTCATAGCGACCCCGTATAGGATTTCCTAGGAGCTGGTGGGTTTGAACTGCTGAACTTACAGTTCAAACTGACCTTGTGGCCCAGTGCTTATCCTGCAGCGCCATGCCAGGACTCTTTAAAATTAGGTGACAAGTCTCCTTTTGGTGCTTGGATGCTAACACATTATGGGGTGACAGATTCTCAGTTCGAGGGTCAGATAGCGAGCTGAGACTCTTCCTTCCCATTCCAGGTCTTCCCAGAAAAAAATTAAGACCCCAAGAGTTGTTATACTCACTACCCATGGTCATCATGTCGATTGTGACGCAGTGATTGTACAGAACAGCAGAGCGCTGCCCCATACAGTTTCCGAGGTTATAAACCTTTGCTAAGCAGACTGCCTCATCTTTCTCCGGACAAGTGGCTAGTAGGTTCAAACCGCTGATGTTTCAGTTAGCAACCAGAGGACCAAAGGGAGTGGCCAGGCCTCACTCAAGGGGACAGGGAGGGTCCCCAGGGCACAGGGGCTTGCTCACCTCTGCAGGACAGCGTCCGAGCTGATGGTTCTGTCCTCCAGCACATGGAAGGGCGGCAGCTGTATCACAAACACGTTGCCACTCTCAGTGCCCAGGTAGAGCAGCTCTTGGGAAGAATGTGGCAGGACCACCGTGATCTGTGTGACACTGGGGGCAGCCCTGCAGGTAGGAATGGCTGTCCATTAGCCTCCTGCTGTCCAGATCGAGGGTCCCCTGGCTCCTGGCTCCCTCATGGCCCCCAGGGAAGGCCAGGCTTAGGGGAAACCGGCCTATGAGGTCCTTCAGCAGGGCCCACCGTGTCATGGGCCAGGCCACGTAAACCAGCTACACCCTGCCAAGGTAGGACAGAGCTTGAGCTGGGAGCTGGCCAAGTGCCACATTTTATGGGGACAGAGGGCGGCAGGCAGTGGCCTGTCCACTCCATCCTGAACTACTGAGTATGAAGATGTGTTGACTCAGAGACCAGTCCCTGCCCGAGGCTCCATAGCAACAACAACAACAACAACAACAGCCACCAGGACCACTCAGAGCGATGTGTCACCTTCCCGAGACAACGCTGAACTCGCACCACGTGGCTCCCTGTACTGATGGATTTTGATATGCTAAGCAGTGCACTAGGAGCTTACTTTGAAAGACCTCATTTTAATACTTAAAGCGTGCCTGTCAAGTTGATACTATATTGAAGCCCATTTTACACATTTGAAAACTGAGGCTTACAGGGAGAGTTATCTATAGAGGTCCACAAACAGGGGCAGGGCCAATACGTGAGTGTAGAATAGTATTGTTCCAAGGCCACACCTGTGTCCATAATAAGGGACTTTCACGGGGTGATACTCCTCCCTTCAGGGGTTGGGTTGGTTGTCCTTACCCTGGGGGGCCACGCAGCGTGAAGCTCTCCTCCTCCTGCAGCTCGGACACCCCACCCTTGACCTGCAGGCTCCAGAGATGCAGACTGTTGTCGTCCAACAGGGTGACCAGCTGACACTGGGAGAGAATCAGGAAGGGCCAGGGTCACCGTGACCTCCAAAGAGCCCCACCCCTCCTCGACCAGCCTGTGGACCCCCAGACAGAGAAGGCAGGTGGTGTCAGGTCTTCTGAGGATGTGAGGGGGGCAGGCCACGGGAGGCCCCTCACCTGAGCAGGCAGGAAGTGGATCTGCACAACAGCATTGTTCTCGCGGTGTAGGCCCATGAACTCCACCCCGGGGGCACCATAGCTTGTAGTGGGCTCAGGAAAAGAACAGTAAGACCAGATGCAGCCCCTCTTGCCCAGAGTGTAGACCTCTAGGCCCACGTAGCAGGGCTGCCCAACCCTCCAGGACAGGACCTGGGTCCAGGCCTGGGGCGAGGCAGAGACAGTAGTGGTCTTGATCCCATGGACTTTTGGCCAGGGGCCTGACCTCTAGGGTGAAGTCAACTCCACGGCCAAGCAGGGGAGGTGACTCCCCTGAGAAGGTGAGGCTTGACTGGGCAGCTGGAAGGTACCACAGGCCCCCACCCCACCCAAGCTGCTACAGACTCATCAGCTCCCTCATGCTGGTACTGGTGAGAAAGTCCTGGGCATGCCCCTGGGCCCAGTTCAGCTGACCAGGCCCAGGAGTCTTGGCAGCAGGGATTGGTAACACTGATCCGGCCTCGGACTGGCAATGATTAACCAGTAGAGGTCACCCCGCCACACCCTCACTCCCACCTGCCCAAACTGTAAGAAGGAAGAGCAAGAGGGAAGTCCAGCTTCCACGAGGAGGCGCCAGGGCCCTGCAAGGGCAGCCCCCACTCTCAGTGCTCCTAAGTTCCAGCCTGGCTCACAGTTGAGGGGGTGCCTTCAGGCCAGATGTGAGGGGTGGGGGACGTGGTCCAGTGGTCCCTGTCCTTCCCCATCGCTCCCTGAACCCAGGGCCCTGTCCCTTTCAGGCCTCACTGGGGAAAGCTGGGAGGGTGGAAAGGATACAGCTTGATGGCTCCGGAGCGGGTACCAATGGCCAGTACGTGCAGAGAGGGGCTGTAGCCGAGGGCGCTGGGCTGGTGTGGGAAGCCATGCTCCACAGTCTGCAACAAGATCAGCAGCAACATGGCCTCAGTCTCATCCCTGTGGCTGGCCAGGCCTAGGGGAGATGGCAGGGGCAGCCGAGGCAGGCAAGAAGAAATGGTCACTTTCAGGGTCCTACCCCGGCACCTGTGAGGGTGGGAGTTAAATCCAGGCCCCGTCCACTCCTATTCCCATCCTCAGCCATGTGGCCTTCCCTGCAAGTTCCTTCTCTCCCAGCATGCCGACCATTTGGCACGTTCCAGGAGAACTGACCCTGTATCTCCATCACCTTCCATGGGACAGACCCAGCTCTCCTGGGTAGTTGGGGGCCAGGCAGGGGATAGGGAGGGGCAAAAGGCAGCTTTGGAGGGACTGACCCAGTGGAGGTATCTGGTCACTTGGGAAGCCAGAATGCTCTGCAGCTCCAGGCCCACCCCAAGGCCTGACAGTTCCCAGCTCTGGACCCTGGGTATTCTCCGCTATTGGCTTCCCAGAGGGAACAGTTCTAGTGTTATGTGCATCTCTGTAGTAAATATTAGGCATTGGGCTGCTAACCCCAAGGTGGGCGGTTCAAACCCGCCAGTCACTCTGCTGGAGAAGATGAGGCTGGCTGCTCCCATAAAGATTGACAGTTTCAGAAACCCTGAGGGGCTGCTCTCCTCTGTCTCTTAGGCTCTCACTAGGGTCAGAATCAACTCGAAGCCAGTGGGTTTGGTTTGGCTTGAGTAAAGATTGTATCACTGCCATTGAACCGAATCCGTCACAGTGACCCTGTAGGACAGAGAACTCCTTCGGGCTTCTGAGACTGTGTATCTTTAAGGGAGGATATGGACTCATCTTTATCCCTTGGAGCGGCTGGTAGGTTTGAACAGCTGACCTTACAGTTAGCAGCCCAATGCTTAACCTACTGCACTACCAGGGTTCCTTGTAGCAAAGATCATAGCATTGGAAACGTTATAAGGCTATAACGCTATAAACACTATCCTACCGGGTCGCTATGAGTCGGAACCAACTCAATGGCACGCCTACACTTCTGTCCATCTCTTATAGTAGAATTAATGCGTACGCATTCTAGCAAACCTGGACCACATCCACAAGTGTGAAAAAGAAACCCCAAATTACCCATACTCCTACAGCCAGAAGGGGCCCTTGTTAACACCCTGATATTTATCTTGGGTCTTTCCCATGCTTGAGAGTGTGTGCATGTGCACATATACTGAAAGCATTTTAAAACATGTGTATTTAACCTATTCAAAACCACACTCTTGGGAGCTTACTGCGCATCTATCTGCATGCATGTGCGAAGGTGCAAGTAGAGTTCTGGAACCCTTTTCCTACTGACGTCCATCCAATCCTGGTGTGGTTTTTAAGTGGCTGAAGAATGCACTTTGGAGCGACCCCCACTGTTGAATGTCTACTTTGTTTCTAGAAGTTTGGAAAACTGCTGCTGGGCTCAACTCCTTGGGCAGCTATGGGAGAGGTGGCATTACAGGTTAAAAGGGTGGCTGTAAACAGCTACAGATTCCCATGGACAAACCACCTTCGGGAAGGGCTTTTGGTTTTGCCTCTTAACCAGCTGCCTCAGCACCCACCTCGCACACCCAGAGCACAGCTAGACTGGAGCAGAGTGAAGCAACTGCCAACCAGTTGCTTGAAAGAAAAACGCACAAGTTTAATCGGAGGAATCGAGGGTCTTGTACTCTGGGAAAGGGTGCGCCAGTGAGGTGCCTTCATGGACCCAGGGCTCTCTATCCTTTAGGTGTGACATTGAGCTGTGGTCAGGCCTCACAGCAGCAGAACGAGATAAGGTCCTGGTGACAGCCCTGGTGTGATGACCGCTGCTGACCAGTCCAGTCCAGTCCACGTGGCTCATGGGAGGAGACTGTCTAACTAGGGATATCGGAAACCAACAGGTTGTGGGGGTGACCATGAGTCTTGCTTTTTGCCAGGAACCCAGTCTGCTCCAAATGGCCACACCTGGTCTCAGGAGACCAGGCCAATCCAGGTCCCAGTTTAGTTATGCAAAAAATGCAGAGTGTGGTTAGAGGGCCTGGGGAGATAGGGGAGTATCTGGAATGCAAACAGTTTCCAGACAAGCACAGGCAGGCAGGGGACGGGGATGGGGCACAGGGGACAGGACCTGCTTGGTCTCAGATGGCCCCAAGTTCCTGGGAGCTTCAGGAACTCAGCAGCCACAGGTATAGAGCATGTCACCCGGAGAAGACTCCTAGGGCAGCATAATTTTCCCAGCAGCATCAGCACTCAGAGCAAAATCAACAACCCAACAAAACCCCAAAAACTCACTGGCACCGTGTCAATGCCAACTCATAGTGACCCTATAGGACACAGTAGAACCACCCCATAGGGTTACTGAAGAAGACTGCCATAACTTTCTCCTATATAATGAATGGCTAGTGGGTTCAAACCACCGACCTTATGGCTTTTGTTGTATAGTGCCACTAAGTCAGTTGCGACTCACAGCAACCCTGCATAGGGTTTCCAAGGAGCAGCTGGTGGGTTTGAACTGCCAACTTTGTGGTTCGCAGTCCAGTGCTGATCCTACAGCGCCATACCAGGAGTTCAATATGGCTTTCAGGAAATGTACACGTAAAATAACATCTGTGGCTCACACTGTAATTGTCATTGTCCGGCCTCACAAAGAGAGTGAGGTCAGAGGGAAAATCTGCAACTAGGCAGTAGCCACTCAGGCCACACATTGTCCTACCCACTCACCATCTGGGAGTTCTCCCAATATCTCACCTGAATCACTCCGGCCGGGATCAACCTCTTTTCTCTGGGAGTCTAAGCGTGGCCATTTAGACTCTTCTGCTTGACTAAGTGTAAACACACTCAAGCAGTGCCTAATAGCACTGTAAACCACCCCACCCCCATTCCTCCTGTCCTTGGCTTCTTAGGTCTCTGGTTTTAGCCACTGTCAGGATGTAAAAGGTCACGTGAAGCCTGCTCCCTGGTGGTGTAGCTTCTGGTGTTGAAGAGCCCATCTAGGCAAACAGGCATGGGGAGAATTAATCACAGGTTCATCAGGACATCCCGACCACTGTGTGAATTGGTGTGTGTGTTAAAAGGATCACATTATAGTCCACCTGCATGTTGTACTAATTCACTTTGTAAAAACTAGTAAAATACTGCTTGTAAAAAAGAATCATCCAAAACCATTTAAAATCAGCCTCTTTGCTGCGGGTGCTCCCAGAGTCGATGGACTTCCTAAAAATACAAGCTTTTCTCTTTGTTGATCTGGAGTGTCTGTTAATTGGACTCAACCACTCTAGAGCATAGGACGCAAGTTTTGGGGTAACATGCATGACCTGCCCCCCAAACCCAATCCAGTTGCCCTTGAGTCAATTCAGATTCATAAGGACTTTGTCAGACCAGGTAGAGCAGATCTGCTCTATAAAGCCCCCACAGCTGTCATCTTTACGAAAGCACATCACATCTTTCTCCCTCGGAGTGGCTGGTGGGTTCGAACTGCCCAACCTTTCAGCTAGCAGCTGAATGATTAACCACTATGTTACCAGAGAAGGAGGCAAAGATCATTCAATCACTTGGACTCTTGCCCTTCAGAGTCCTGGGAACACGGTGGCTACCTCTCTTCTGTAGGTATTTGGAAAGAACAGGCTGATTCAATGCTGAATCTCCTCTTGCCACCACAGGCTCTGGACTTGTGTGATCTACTCTGCCTCTAACCAGTTGCTGCCCCACTACTAACTCTGACTCATGTGTGTCAGAGCAGAACTGTGCTCCCGAGGGTTCCAGAGGCAGCCCAGGGTGGACTTGAATCTCCAGTGTGAATTCAGGGACTCCTTCGAGGAGTCTCCTTGTGAAATTGACAAATGGGACATAGCAACGAAGAATTTAGCAGGCCTGTCCTTGGCACTGAAAGGACAAGCATTAAGACCACCTAGCAATGAGGGGGAGGCTTGGCTCATTCCATCCCTCGTGCACACAAGGCTGTGCCTCACCAGCTTCCTTCCTCATATTCCTCGGGGCATCTTCTCCAAGCCCATCACTCCAGAGGGGTCAAAGCTCCATGAAGAACAAAGTGTTGTTATTAAGTGCCATTGAGTCAGTTCCAACTGAAAACAACACTCCACAGGGTTTCTGAGGAGCAGCTGGCAGGTTTGAACTGCCAACCTTCCAACAGTGCCACCAGAACAAAGATGTTGTTAAGCGTCATTGAGTTGGTTCCGACACATAGTGACTCTGTATAGGGTTTCCAAGAAGCGGCTGGTGAATTTGAACCGCTGACCTGTGGTTCAAACCAATCTTGCAGTCCAGTGCATTAACCCACAATGCCACACCAGGACTCTACCATAACAAAGTAAGGAAGAGTGAATTTTATGGATATCCTTCCTAGACAGGGCCCAAGAAAGATGGTTCACATGCAAATCATGTGGCAACCACCTTCCTCCCTGGGGACTCCCCAGATCTGGGGGAGGCAGCCCTGCGTTTTATGCAAATGAGACCCACAAATCTCTGAAGGTGGCCAGTATCCCTGGAGGCAAGGGAGTCCTGAGCGGAGCAGGAGCAGCAGAGGCCTGGAAGCCTAGAGGCTTTCGTTGGGATGGGAAAGAAGGGTGTTTGGATTCAGGGAGAGGCCACAGGGCGGCTGATCAAGGGGACAGGGAGGAGCTCATAAGCCAGGCAGGGGAAAGTGGAAGATTCCATAAGGCCAGGGCTGAACTCAGACACCCACTTCCAGCCTAGGGTCCAGCTGTCCCTGGACCTCGGATGTCTTTCCCACTCCCTCTATGCCCAACTCCTAACTAGGGTAACAAGATCCACGTGGCAGATCTGCTTAAGCTCGAGGAGGCTGTTCCATTTCCCAGAAAGTGGAAGGGTACAGGGTTACCAGGGTCCAGGAGGTGGGCTCAGTCCCAAAGCTACCCAGGTGCCTCAAGCCCTGGCCTGAAACTCAAAAGACACACAGGGATGCTGAATTACATCCCCAGGGAACAGGAAGTAAAATGGTCTCAGGACAGAAGGTGGGGCAGGGGCTGAA